AGAATTTGTGTCGACCAGCACCTGGGTCTCAACCTCGGCGTGTGTGCCGCTAGGTTTCTCGGCCTCCACTTGTGATAGCCTGTGAGCCATCGTGTTAACCAGCCCCTTAGCCTCTTCCTCGGCCAGTGTGTCGCTAAGTGTTTTGACTTTCAGCTCTTCTTGCCTATCGGCCAGTGTTTTTAGCAGTACCTACGCCTTTGCCTGAACCAGCGTTTGACCAACTGTGGCGACCTCAACCTCTCCCAGCCAGTTAGGCAGTGCGTTGTCCAGCGCCATCGCCTGCACCTTAGCCCGTGTGTCGCCACTACTAGTTTCTGACGCAGTGGGTCGACCCGCGCCTTGTTCTCCATCTCAGGCAGTGTTTCAGCAAGTATCTCCACCTCCACCTCTACCACCTTGTCATCAAGTGCATCGCCAAGCGCATTAGCCTTTACCTTTTCCAGTGTTTTTATTTTCACCACTGTTATCCTCTTATCCTATCAGCCACTGTCTCTGCCAGTGCCTAAGCGTCCATCTCGGCTGTGTGTAGCTAAGTTCTTTAACCGACATTCCGACCAGTGTGCCAACAGGTGTCTTCATCTCCAACTCTGCTACCATGTCAGCCAGTTTGTCCGAGCACTCCACTGCTTCCACCCCTGAAAGTGTAGCCAAGTTTTAATTCCTGTTTCTTTTCTAGCCTGTCGTCTAGTGTGTCGAGAAGCGCCTTGGCCTCCATCTCTGCCATTGTGATGCCAAGTGTCTACATTTCTACCTCTGCCAGCCTGTCACCTAGTATTCCACGAGCGCCTCTGCCTTCACTCTGGCCAGTGTAGCCAAGTTTCTTGCATTGCTTCTCTGTTAGCGTCTCATTCAGAGTGTCGACGGACCCATCGGCATCCATTCGCCCAGTGTTGGACTAAGTACGTAGACCTGCATCATTGTTAATTTGTTAACCAGTGTGTCGGCCACGGACTCGGTCTAAAGCATGGCCAGTGTGTAGCGTATTGTTTCGATTGCAACTTCTGCTATGGCTGTCAATCAGTATGTACACCAGCGTTTTCCTCTCTACCTCGGACAGTGTGTCGCTAAGTTTAGCCCGTCAGCCAGTCTGTCGACGGCCACCTCAGCCTTAACCTTTCCAAGTGTGTCAACAAGTCTTTCGACTTCCACCCTAGCTAGTCTGGCAGAAAGTGTGTTGAACAGCACCTAGGCCTCAACCTCGTCCAGTGTGTCATCAAGTTTGTCAACCTCTATAAAACCAAGCCTGTCATTGAGTGTCGAGCAGCACCTCGACCTAAATTTGGCCAGTGTGCCGCTAAATGTCTCGGCTTCTTCTTCTTCTAGCCTGTGAGTCATCGTGCTCACCAGCCCCTTACCCTTTTGCTCGGCCAGTGTGTCGCTAAGTGTTTGCACCCTCAGCTCTTCTAGCCTGTTGGCTAGTGTGTACAGCAGCGCTTTGGCCTTTACCTGAGCGAGCGTTTGACCAACCGTGGTGACCTCAACTCTCCTGGCCAGATGGCCAGTGCGTTGCTCAGCACCATCGCATGCACCTACGCCACTGTGTCACCAAGTGACCCGACCTCCGCCACTGCTACTTTCTTACGCAGTGTGTCGACCTGCGCCCTGGCCTTCAAATCGGGCAGTGTTTTAGCAAGTTTCTCGACCTCCACTTCTACTACCTTGTTATCAACTGCATCGACAAGCATATTAACCTTTACCTTTTCCAATGTCTCGACGTTGACCACATTTATCCTGTCAGCAAGTGTCTTTGCCAGTGCCTAAGTTCTTTAACCTCCACCCCGGTCAGTGTGCCAACAGGTGTTTCCATCTCTACCTCTACTATCATGTCAGCCAGTGTGCTTAAGCCCGCCCCTGCCTCCACCCCTGCAAGTGTAGGCAAGTTTCAATACCTGCTTCTCTTCAAGCCTTGGGAAGTGCGTCAACAAGTGTCTCGACCTCGACCTGTGTAACCCAAGCGCTTCGGCCTCCACCTCAGCCAGTTTCTCGGCAAGTGTCTCCACCTTCTTCTCTTCTACCCTTTCAGCCCATGCGTCAACCAATGCCTCTGCCTTTTTTTCAGGATGTGTTTTGCAGTCTTTCGACGCACCCCTCAGCAACCCTGTCAGCTAGTATGTACACCAACGCTTCGGCATCCACCATGTTCAGTTTGTTGCGAAGTGCGTCGACCACCATGGCTTAACCTGTCAGGCGGTGTGTCGACCATAGCCTTAATCTCCCCCTTAACTAAAGAGTCTAGACCTCCATTTTTGGTAACCTGTTAGACAGAGTGTCGACCAGCACCTCACCTTCAAGGTGGGTCCCTATGTCTCAGCGGTCTTGACCTCAGGCTCTGTTAGGCTTTCAGTCAGTTTTTTTAGCGGCCGCTTGGCCTTCATTTTCGCCAGTGTTGCGCCAAATAAGTAGACTTCTTCTTCGGGTAACCTGTCAGTCAGTGCACGAGGGGACAAAAATGGCTTTTACGGCAAGTACAATCCCACGCAGAGATGTTTTCTTCGCGGGCAGCTAATCCGACTTAATCCCATTTAATATGTCGCGCTCCTCGAAAGTGCGAAAATTTATTTGCCCTGTATTAGATTTCAGTATACATTTTATTAACCTTTATTTCGCGCCAGAATAAATTAGTTTGCGCGCACAGGGCTTCTAAAAAAATCACAAGGTTTGTCCCACGTCGAGACCACCTCCTCGAGATACCCCGTCTTGCCACCTGGAATACATTGCCTTGGCGAAGATCTGGGTCTTTTTCTCCTCGTCGTTTTTACTCCACGACATTTGCTTTAACTGATAGTGAGAATGCTGTGCATATCGGTGGATTTTACGTCATGCGGCTTCGTGCGGCTTGCTACTTATGAAAGAAGAGTGGCGGATTTCATGTCTTTGTTCGCCTTTAATTTGTTGTCAAATGGAAGGTCAACGAGCCGACTACTGTAAGGTAAGAATTGAAGTTTTAAATTTGTTTATTGGCAAAAAATAGTGCATAGAACTCGTGAAGCCCGTGGGTAATACCTCCGTTATACTATAATGTCACGCGATGACTCCTTGTTTTTTCGATGGGTAATACGACGGATACAAACAATAGCTTCTTTCGCAAAGTTAAGTAGAATTTAGTTATCGAGACCATTTGAAGACGATTTATCCTTATATGCCTCATTACTTGGCTTATTCCGGCTACGTGCGAGGAATAAGATGACAATGTTTGTGTGTTATAATTATGCTCCGATAATTTCTTGCATCTTTGTATTGAAACTCATGAAAGCAAAACTTGTTTTACCCTAGCAAAAAACTCTTCTATTATGGAGAAACTTTTAACGTCTTTCGAGGCCCAATATGGTGTAAAAGTTTTAGGAAAAACGAAGGTTGATCTTTGGCGACACGGAGGGTAGCTTTTTTCTTTGAAGAGAGCGCGAGCCAAACGCGAGCTTTATGCCCCGTAAGTACAGTGTAACCCAGTGATTCTTTACCTAGAGGTAACAAACATAGGCTGCACGTAAGGTGGTGCACCCATGAGTCCAGTGTAACCCAGTGATTCTTTAGGCTGAGCTGGCAAGCATAGGCTCCACTTAAGGTGGCGCACCCATAAGTGTAGTGTAACCCAGTAATTCTGTAGGTAGACCTAACAAACATCCGCTGCACTTAAGGTTGGACACCCATAAGTGTAGATAACCCAGTGACTCTGTAGGTAGAGCTAACAAACACTACGATGGCTGTGAAATTAAATTAAACGCATTCTTTTTGGATAAGTAGTTTCAAATTAAACAACGAGGTGATAATACTTGTATGGTGGATTTTGTTTGGCACAACTGCAAGGGTAAAATAGGTTTCCAGAAATACACATATCAAAAATTATCAGACGAATTACAGGAGTATGCTTCAAATTTTCCAATGATGTCAACACAAGAGTTAGTGGACTGGGCCCAGCAATGTCATCCTAATGTGTCAATTCCTGCTAATGATTTAACATGGCATAAATTCATGAGACATAGACCGTCAACAACTCATAGAGATATTAGTTTAGTGTTTTACATCAAAGACCATCATTTATATCCCATTTTAAATGACCGCTTGAAAAATATAGCCACTTAGGCTAATTAGGTTGGTACTGATAATCTATGGCCATACGTGACAGACATGAAATGGTCTAATAAATAGAGCAACTATATTAAGTACCAAGAATTAGTCGATAACATGGATGATATAATCGATGGCAAAAAATCGGGCAAACCAACATTATCAACAATCGAGAACCATGTTATAATTCTACCAACAGATACAAAAATTGAGCCAATTACCGAGGAGTATATTTACAGATCACAATATTTTGTCGAATACCTCCTTGATAATAATGGTAGATTGGACGGATTTATCGACCATACCAATAACATGTACGTTCTTAAAACCGACTATGACATCAGAAAACAGATATGTGAGCAGCTATATGAAATGTACAAATCACATGACTTCATTTAGTGCAATCAATCATCATTACTTAAACACATGCGAGGCTATCTTCCAGAATTCCAGTATAACAATAAAACGCGGGAAATAATAGACGACAACTATCCCAGAGCCCTGCAATGGTGTTCAACAGATCCCCAGTCCGAAAATTTGGTCAGTTTAGATATCTATAAATGCTATCCATCAATCTTGATCAATAATAAGGAACCGATCCCGCTTTATACAATCCATGAGGTCATCGAACCATTCAGTGAGGATGATTTAAGATACAACTATGGCGAGTATTATATAGACGAGTATGTATTAAATAGTTGGGCGAAGGGTATAAAAACAGAAGCTGGATTTTACAGTAAGCGATTAGTACAGATGTTAATCGATGGCTTGAAAATGCCAACAAGTAATGTCAAATAATTTATCCGATCTCGAAAAACATTAGCCCCAGATACATTCCAAAACTTTTTATTAAAGATATTTGAACTAGAATCCCAAGCCAAATTACTTGCCCATTGATACATCGGCGAACTAGGTCGAAAATATAGCCGCAAAGATCATAGTTTTACATGTAATTTACTTGATACGGCCCAATGCATCTGGACATCAGCACTTGCTGAAAACAGGGATGTAACAATTGAAAGTTATTAAAATCCATGAACCAAACAGGAAATCTATTTAATTAGAGAGCGCCAAGTCGAGCGTATGCTTTCTGACAATACATCAATTAATAGATTTGTCATATTGAAGGCTATTTTGAAATGTCTGAAACTGATAGCCAAGAATTGTAGTCACGATGAAAATGGACATATTATAAGTGAAATTTATGCAATTAACACCGACGGCGTATTTATGACAAAACCGAAATACCAATATCCAAACAAAAAAGATGTCAAATTTGAAGTATCGAATATTAGCAAAACATTCTTAACTGACAGTCCGGCAACCTATTTCGAGAAACATTATGGGGAAAACCTATTTCTAGATAATTATACAGATCAAAAGGGAAATGGAGTAATTTATTATGGTGGCCCAGGCTGTGGCAAAACTTACAAACTCTGTGAAATGGCATCTAAAGCCACAAACCCAATAATCCTATCCTTCACAAATAAAGCCATCAAGAACGTAAAAAAAGTATTCAAAAATCAGTATCCAGAATCTAGATTAGAATTTGAGTGCTATACTTTTGACAGATATTTTTGTGATTATTATGGGCGTGATATAAACAATCTGAAGGACAAAACTATATTTATGGAAGAATACAGCGTGACACCCAATATAAGTGGATGACAAAGTTGTACCACGCATTCACAAAATTCGGGTCTACAATCTACATGTTCGGAGATATTAACCAATGTGTCCGAGTGGAAAAACCAAGTAAAATACATTATAACTATTTCAAATCAGAATCAATAAAACAGATGTGTCCCGGGCGAATATAAATGAAGTATATTGACGGAGAAAAATCCCGGTATGGTATACCCACAAAAAATATGCTAACCGAATTCCTCATTACAGGAACTGTCAGTCATAAATTTCAGGCCAAAAAACCAAGTTACCATAATATATGCTAGCTCCGTGAAACTAGAAAAGGGGTCACAGAAGCATGTTATAACAGATTTACAAAAGATAAAGACTATCATGAAATCAAATTTAAGTACCAAGGCAAAAAGGAACAATATAGGGTAGCTGCTGGGACGCAATATTTAGCCACAACGAATCTGGCCAAACGCGATATATTTAACATGATGCAATTTGAACTGACTAAAATCGATCATGATGCAGAAGGTAATTTATTGTTTATGCTTGGTGACAAAATTTTTGAACACAGTGTTTTTGCCGAATCATTCATTCCGGCATTTTGTGTTACCGTTTACAAATATCAGGGTGGTACAATTTAAAATAAGCCATAGAATATTTTCGACTTTGAGAAAATGGATAAGAAACAATCATATACAGCCCTCTCCAGAACAACTAATTTGGAGTACATCCAACTCAGTAACAAGAAGCCCAAATATAAACATGAAAATCCCCCATTCATGAATATGGAATCAATAAATAGTTACTTTAATGATGATTACCATAATGGGCAAATTTACATTTTTAATTTACATTCCAACACAATGATAAAATGTATGTTGGTGGTTCACTCAGGAATCTCCAAGCAAGGTTACAAGAGTACAAGACTGACACTAAGAGTACAGAAATGATAATCCAACAATAAGGCCAATGATATTAGCACCTTAATATATAGATTTAGCCAGGGCTAAAAGCGAAGCTCCCATTAATAAATTAATGATTTACATCAAACAATAAACTTGTAATCCACAAATCAGTTAACTTAAGGGCACATATGTGACTTTTTAGGGAAAGCTAAGTCTAAGTGATTTTAGAGTGAAAAAAAATCTTACATCGAATTGATAGCCGGTATATATACACCCAAAAAATAGCAATCATCGTCGATCACATTTAAGAGCCATAATAGCTCTTGATCACAGTAGATTAGGCCTGGAAAACGAATTCATGGAAAAAACAAATCAGGCCGAATATTTCACGTTCGACAAGTTTACGTAACAAAATCTTGCCAACAACCCTGGGAGCATGTAAACCAACATTTCATACTTTTTATGCATCACATCTGAGGTGAAACAGAAATATGAGGCGCTGTTTTTATCATACAGACCTCAGACAAAATGCAGTATTTCACAATTTTTCAAGACAAATTGCACTCATTCAATATTCAGAACCGTACGAAGCACGCGTGGGCTTTTAGCAAAACCGTTCAAAAAATTTCCAAAATCACCTATACGGCCAGCCGGTTGTCACTTTTGACAAGCGCCAAATTTTCAGTGAACATTAAAAGAGTTACGCTTCAACATAATAAAGAATTTGTTGTTTATTTTTTTTATTTAATGGTTTTATAACGATGTGTAATCTTAAAAAGCGTTTGATACGCGCAGCATTTTGAGTACTCCTGCAAGCGTTGTCTATGAACGACTGAAAACAAACAGCAAAGCGATTAAAATTGCAAGAGACTACTCACAATCATTAAAAGAAATGTAATTCGGTGAAACATTTACAGAGACAACAATTTTCATTCACGAAGACAAGTATTAAAGCGTCTCTAAAAATCCTGAGTCTTTACGCTTAAGCCTAAAGCTTTTAGCCGGCTTCCTGGTGTTTACTGTTTTCAGAGATGAACTCGAGGCAAGAAAATCGCTCAAAGCTTTCTTTCTACAGCCAAAATTATAACTAAATACTCTTCAGAACGTTTTTTCATTCTATATGCGGAGAGAAAATATCGACTAAAGGCTTTTTAAAGCTCTGTAAGCTTATATATACTAGATCAGATCATTGTCTCAGATCTTAATACAAACGTGCATAAATTAGCCTCATAAACTTCGCTCGACTTCATGAAATTAGATATAAAAAAACAAACATACACTGTATACAATAATTACTCAGGCTTACCATTCGATATGCAGCTCTTGAAAGCTATCAAGTAAGGCCAGAATCGCTTGAGGGACTTTTCAACCCCGCATCCAGCAAGGTGAAAAACGAAAACGATGCATCCGAAATCGGATTTCCAACTTTGACAACCGGCGCATTTCCCAACCAAAAATTCAATAAACAAACCAGCCATGAATCAAAGAAGACTGTTGATAGCAGCTGTATTTCATTTTAAGCATCCAGTGGGAAAAGACAGTAAAAAACATCACAAGTTGACAAAATACTCTGTCAGCTTCAGCTGTCAAAGTAAACAAGGTTCAAGATGCTGTATAAATTTTCTGCATGAACTCACCTGTCAAATTTTGACCAATCAGAGCATAAAAATTGGACGGTCGTAAAGCGTGATCAACGCGTGACTATGGTGAGAAAAGTGAAAAGCCTCTGTCTTCCCTGCTTGTATTTTTAAATGACTGGCTGAATTTTCGCGTCCGAGATCAGTTTGAAATCAAAATGTTAATAACGCGGGGCCATAGTGACATTAACACAGCACTTTCTGTCATCATGTCATTATTTTGCTGCCGTTCTCTTTGCCTTTGTATTTCTCTCGCGCGTTGCCTTTGTCTGTTCATTCTAGCTCTGTCTCGTTCTGCTTGCCGGCGTCTTTCACTATAATTTTCTCTCCTTCTTCTCGCTCTGACTCTTTCTACTTGCCGACTTTCTTCGCTAAAATTTTGTCTTCTTCTTCTACTTCTAACGCGCTCTCATTGGCGATCGTCTTCGCTTGTTCTACGCGCGTTGAATCTTACTCTCTGCCGTTCACCTTCTCTTTGCTCTCTGCTTAAAACCTGTCGTCTACACGCTTAAATCTCTCTGCTGTTGTTTGTTGACATAATAGCTTTCGTAAGTTGTGATAAAAAGTTATAAAGGCTCTGTCGAAAAATCTTTTTGCTAAGTTGCTTTGAAATTTCTCTTTTCAAAACCAGTTGTGCGATATAATTGCGCGACGTTGCGCCATGCGATTTCCCGCCAAAAAAATCCCTACTTTCCCCTACCCCAAGAGTCCATGCGGACTACTTTCCACTACCCGGAAAGTCCGTACGGACGGACGGACGCTGACGTCATAACCAAAATTTCTCGGATGGGTAGTTTATCTTAGTCATGGTGCTACGCTCGCGCGCTTCGCGCGCGCAAGGAGCTCCGCTATAAAGACACAACAGAATTCAACAAAGTGGAAGCAGAATATATCATTGCATATAGTGAAAAATATGGTACCCTACCACTTAACAGACAACATGCCAAAAAAAAAGAAAAGGAAATCAAATACCAACATCAGGCATACATTGAATCCGAAAATGAGCTCAGAGAACGATTGCGCCAAAAATTCGGTGATAAAATCAAAATAAAGGATGATCCAATGAATAAGCTGCTATACTATGACACAACAATCGAGGGAAAACGATACAAAACAATGGCACGATATAATAAATGCACAAAAGAACAAGCATTAACCAATATAACAGCAAAAAAGCAAAAATTAATTGACGAACTAACAATCTAATGGGAATAAACTATATAAAGCCATAACACTATTTACTATTAACGTGTACTAAACAAGTTCACGAGTTATTGATCCAATATGATAATACCGTAAATTGCCCCCTTTAATCCAAGCAGATTCAAGACCCAGGTAAGCCACAGCGTTATGTCTGCTGCGATTCTATGAAATTGATCAGGGACAGACACCTCGTGTGTATTAATTGTGGCCAAGTGCATGATGAATATTTTGCTCCCGAATATGTGGATTTTTATGAAAATAGACATAAGATAAGAAAGAAGTCGTTATATCACAGAAAATATCATCTCATAAATGTCATGAATGATACTGCTCAAAAAAATAACATCCAAATAGGATATTATAACAGACAGAATATTTTGAGAATATTTAAACTGATTGACCAAAACTCACTAGAAGTTAATATTGGCCGGAAACGCATGGTTAGTGTTAATTTTACTCTTAAGCTATTATTTGACATTTTAGGAATAGAATACAACTTTATTCCTCTCACAAAATCAAAGAAGACGTTAAATTATTACAGCCAGTGGTGGGCTCAAATCTATGATTTCATCAAGGAGGATATTAACTAGGGTTAGTAGTGGGGGTAGAGAGGAACTGTTTCCCATATTGTTCATCAAATTTTGTTACTAATGAGCAAAAATCGGTAATGATATCATCAAGTATATTTAATTCTTTTAGGACATCATTTTTATCAAATAAGCCCCCTCTTAGAGCAGTTCTAAGATCGAGCAATACTTTTTGGTAAGTTGTATAGGCGAACTTACTCGTTTCTATTTTACGTTTATAATCTTTAGTCTCTGAGAAAGTCTTTAATGCCAAACCAGCACCAGATATACTTCCAAGAATAGCAGGTTGAAGAGTTAAACCACCTGCAATAGCTCCAACTGCTATCAAACCAGTGGAAGACATATTTATGGCTAAGTTTAGTTTCTTAAAGTATTTGTACGCCTCTTGATAACACCAGTATCTATAGTGGTAATATTTATATAGCTCTTTAATCTTCTGTATCTCTTCTTTTGTTTTGTTTTTGTCAATGTGGTTGAAGTTGAATATACTCATATATATTATTAGTTTAGACTAATTACATAACATATGGGCCGTTCAATTTCTCTTGCATCATTATTGTACGAAATTGGACAGAATCGAAGTCGTAAGAGTTTGGGTTGTACATTACTTTATGGATCACTGCATCTTCTGAGGATATTCTGAACGTGTAGTTACATTGAGATGCTAAAGCTGAACTTAGTGTTAAGGTTGCAGAATAATTGGATATTGATGCTTTTACTGTTGGTGTACCCCCCGTACCTTTCTTAGTTAGCCAAAACACAACTCTTTTACCATTGAAACTGTTTAGTAAAGTGATAGAAGTTTCATTAGTTGTCCCAACTCTCAGACCATTAGTTTGAAGTTTTAATTTCTTTGTTGTTTTGTCATAAATCAAATGTGGTTTTTCATGAGTTCCATTGCTCATAAACGTTTTTATATACATTGATCTATTTAGCCACAGCTGCATAACAACACAAATAGTAAAGCTCCTTTTACTGAATAATGCTAAATTCAGTTTTTTATTTTGTATCCTCAATCCGCCCCCCCCCCTCAAAAAAAAACATTGGCAATATTCATATTGGAAAATGATATGTTAGGAAGTAAGCCCCTAAATATGATAGGTGATGGACGTCCTGTTACAGTTTTATAGATACCAACATCGCTTAAATCATCAAATTCTTCAAATATTTCCCTATACACATTATTTTTCGTGTAAGGATACAGATCCTTTACCATCTTCACGGTAGCTGTGCTATTATTTCGAGCTTTATCGGGAGCAATGTTTAATATCTTCTTTCAGTTTATATCCAGATCAACATTTTAAACATCTTCTGTTGGTTTGATATCAAAAACACCATAAGCGATGATCCAGCTTTTTTGTCCGATTTGCTGGATATGTATTGAGATCAATACCCGCTTGGGGTATATTAACATAAAGATGCAGACTGTAAAGCAGATTTGATACAGTTTTTTTGAAAGTTTACAATTATTTTAATATAGTACATGTACGCAACACGCCCACTATTATATGTGTACCAGTGAGAAAATGTTTGTACCGTAAAACCAGCAATTGATACTCCTTGCGATGTGGTTTTATCAATTGTAGCAACTGATTTGTGCCATAATTGGTAATCTGAATTGAGGATTTCAATACAGAGAGTATAGTCTTTATTCCTATCAAGTTGATAAAAATTGATTCCCATTTTATACGAATAGCCGCCTTGCTGGTCCTTTATAATAGTTGTGAATAGAACTTTGTGGTTGTATTGATGGTAGTTACCCTCTTGGGGCATTAAATTATCAATTTTAGTAATGTCAAAACTATCCGACTGAAGATCAGTCCGTCTTAATTTATTAGTCATCAAGTATTTGAATTCATTGTTGTAATGGCTGGGTTTAACGTGAGATTTTTCCAAATACTGCTTATTAATAGCAGCTTTATCCGACTGGGGGTCGGCTAGATTGGTTATTTTATTGTTTACCGTATTCAAATCACCAGTCGTAGAAGTATATCCGTTTTTCTCTAAAAATTTGTTTTTAGCCCACTCAATAGTCCCAACTTCATGAGAATATTCATGTCCACTCTGTATTATACCAACTAAATTAGCATTGTTAACGTGAAATTGGTTATGGACGATTCTAGACCCAGGTATGGTTGTTTATTGAAGAAATCAAAATCCACCGCATCTCCATTTGCTGTTGCCATTGGTAGATTATTAGTAATTTTATTATTGGACATATTTAGTGGTCCTGCCATAACTCCACTGGATTTATCCAGAAATTTATTTTCTGACCAAATTTTTGTAGCTGGTTGATTATCACCATTTGGTTGTGCCACATTGTATATCCTATTGCTATTCATATCCAAATTGGCGATCATTAATCCACCAGATAGTGATATTTTAATATCAAGTTGATTCTTTGTTAAGGCATCACTGGAAGCAGTTCCTTTAGCCATATTTGTCAGTTTTTTGTTTGTCATATCATAATTCCCATCTGCTGTGTGATTAAAAACAACGCCCGTTGCACCATGAGGGCCAGTGGAACCACGAGGGCCAGCGGGGCCAGTTGGTCCAGGAATACCCTGAGCATCAGCGGGGCCAGCCGGGCCAGTAATACCACGTTTTCCTGGCGATTGATTATAATTAGGTTGCTGATTAAAAATTCCTATTTTATATTATTATATTAGATATTTCCATGAAAGTTTCTTTTGACTGTTTTCAAAGGCTTATCAACATACAGTATAGTTGTTTTGTGGCTTTAATATACTGGTCCTTTGTTACATTTAACTCTCTAGAAATCATATTTCTTTCATTACTGCTTGGGAAATCATAAATAACATAATGACTGTTGTTTAATCTGATATCTTTCGGAGTTTTGTAAAATGCTTCTGAAAGGTAAATAACACTTCTTGTGTCGCCCTTGAATGAAATAATCAATTAGCGGTTTTTGATTTTTATCGCAAATGAAATCGTCGAATATTACAATTTTCTGAGAATCACTTTCCAGACTATTGACAGGTTTAATGTCATCATTATTGTAATGCATTATGTCGTATCCAGCCTGGCCACTAATATCATTCATTGTTTCTATCATGTTTCTGTATTTTTCCTGTTCCAGATTTTCACCGTATAAATGGATCTGGTCGTAGTAGACTAATGGTTTCATAAGGATGTGATAAAGTAGATTTGTTTTACCTGAACCTGAATTTCCACATATTAGCATCCTGAAATTGGATTTGGGCATGTACTTGTAAAGTTGTTTGAAGTTTGTATTTTCATCTTCATTGAAATCATAATTTGGAATCTCCATATACTATTATGTTAGATAATTTAAGATAAGTTAAGATAAGTTTTATATAATGTACTATTATAATGGATATTGAAAGATTCAAGAGACTCAGTATCCCTAAAATTGAAGCAGGAAAATTGACTGAAGTTGTTAGGGATGTTATGAAAGAAGTTCGAACTAATGAACAGGATGCATACGAAGAGGTTGCTAAGGATCTGAAACCTCTAACCGAAAAGTTTGATAAGGAGATGGAGGAGATCAGTAAATTGAGAGAAGATGTTTCAAAACAAGTTATCCCATACGCTTAGCAAGTTCAAAAATTAGCATTACCGGGTCCAAGCGTTGAGGCACCCAAAATGGTAGCTGATATGATTAAAGGATTCACTCAAGAAGAATTGGCATTCATCCAAAGCAAGCAATTGCCATTACCAGCTGACATTTTTTTGCGAACCTTAAAAGAGCCAGATTATGCAAAACAAATATTAGATTATCTGGTGAAATAAGTAAAGCACAACAAAAACTGCCAGAAAGAAAAATAAGGATGAAATTGCTACATATGATGAAGGAATCGAAACCACAAGGAAATACCGACAAAGAATTGGCATTTTAGACGAAGGAACAAAAACGTTAAAAGGGGAAAAGGGTATTTACACACAAAAAACCGAGAACACTTATAAGATTAACCCACAAACTGGTGTTTATGGAAATGTAAATATTGATGTGCCCAAACTTTATGGACAACTTAAACTAATTGCTCATAAGGATGGTAAAAACGTCTATGAAAAACAAGTAGACTTTGATACACTTGATCTGCTCTCGAAGAGGTCCAACAGTAAAAAGAAATATTCACCATTATCAAAAATGGTATTTGATGAATTAAGCAGAATAAGCGATATTCCAATTCAACGAACCAGTAATAAGTATAAAAAACGACTCGGGTGTTGTTTATTATAATAATCCAGCTGACCTGTTGGATAGACTGGAATTGTTGAGCCGATCAATATTGGCTGGAAATAATGGTGTTCAAAATGAATTTTCGAAAATTGCTCACACACTTAACAAATAAGGTGTTCTAAATAACAACCAGTTTAATAATCTGTTGAAAGAATATATAATCTAATAATATAATACAAGAAAGAGCTATCCATATTTCATCTGTTGATAGACAGAAAATCGGGAAAAATAAAGCAGAGGATTTTATAATCAAATTCGATCCAGTTTTAAAACTCCAAAATGGCATGACGCGTGAATTGGCATTGGATAAGGTTACTATGACTTACAGTTGGCACAACATTTCAGAACAGTACAAAAATAAGACAATAAAATACTCACCCGATGGAGGAACATCGTGGGAAACAGTTAACTTTACAGATGGGATGTATACTTATTCAGACCTACATGATTATGTTCATCAGTACGTGAAAAAGAAGGGACATTTTACTACTAATGAAAAAAAGGATGAGGTGTATTACATTAACCTAACATTCGTACTGTCAACATACAAGATTCTTATTCATATTGTCAACAATAACCAACTGGATCTCAGAAATAGTAAATTTGGTGTGTTAATTGGTTTTATAGAGTAACTTGTGACGAAAACAGAATATGGGGGTGGCGAACTTCCCAATATCACAAATTCCATAGACGTAATTATATTAACACAGATGCCATTACAAACAGCATTTTCAACGGCGTTAACACCAATACGCTAGCAGTTATTGCAATTGATAATTTGACAAGAAGGTTTCCATTTACTTTTGAACCCAGAAGACTATTGTTTAATGAAGTTTCGCAACTAAATATCAGTCAAACGAGATTTTATATCACAGATTCACTAGGACAACCAATTGGTCAAAATAAGATCGACTGGTTTATGACCTTAATATTGCGATCTGCACCAGTATCATATAACCTAATAATATACATGAAACAATCAGAATTCAAGAGACGTTATGATGTTAAAATGGGTAGATATGTTAAGAAGCATATTTATGGAGGAGGTGTTACCGACGTTTTCAAAACGATTGGTAGAAAGTTGTTTGGAAAGACGGTAAAAGAATTTGCTAAAACAGCAACCAAAAAAAGCTGTTAAGACTGCTGCTACTAAGACAGGCGAATATGCTGGCGAAAAAGCAGGCGATAAAATTGTTCAGTTATTAAGCAAAAAGAATAAACACAAAAACACAAAAACACCGGCATCACCAATAGAAAATCCACAAACAAGAGAATAAAGCGATTATGAGATCAATGAACGGGTAAATCAATTATTATCTGAAGGCCGAATGAGAAAATTTATATAATCTATCAATATATGAAATCTTTCAGGGATCCAAATATGTTGAACGATATGAAGATGTTATTTTTGACTTAGAAACAGCGTTAAATACAACTGTTGCCAATAATGCTAATCAGAAAAAGATAGCTACAGATTTGTTGTTGATGACAGCGGAGAGGTTACACCATTCGACTGGTATAATGCTCGAATCAGTCTTGATTTTAGAGGAAATTTGCTGGCTAATGGAGATAAAATTGCATAAGCAGATCATAATGGTATTGTAAATGGGTCTTACTCATTTTTGAAACATTTTGATATTAATTAAGCTCAATGGTAAAAAGGTGTACGATTGTAATGATGCAAATCATGCGGTCAATATTACAAATTTACGTAACTACAGTCCGGCATACGCAGAAAAAACAGTGACTAATGAATTTTTCATTTCTCGATACATCCAGACATGCGGAAGAGCGGGAATTTGAAGTTAGTGGTAAAAATCAGTTAGCCAAAAGACGAGCAGCTTACAATAAAGGTCTTGCCCTTCGGAAAGCACTTCTGGGTACCTCATCCACAGTAAACACTGAAATACCTCTGAACAGATATTCATTTTTCGAAATGTTAGAAGATGAGCTGTTGCCCAATACAAGGGTTGAAATAAATTTTGCAATTGAGTCAGATGGTAATCCAATTTGGCAGGCCGGGGCTGATTGCAGGGTCGTTTTCACCAGGACGCAATGGTACGTTCCGCGGATAACATTTAATAGTGAAGGCCAATCATCCTACATGAGCCAATACCTTAAAACACACAAGTGGACTTATTTGAGAGAAAATATTGAAAGATCAAATAGTAGCCGGCAGAGAGGTGGAAATTTCAGAATCTCAACTGGTATCTCAAAACCCAGGCACGTTTTTGTTTATAATCAATGACGCAAACATCGATGCCCAGACGGCTAATCCATTCTTTTATAATACATTCTCTGTCTCAACTGACCCAAGGACCTTATCCAATTGTCATCTGGAGGTTGGGAACGGTAACGAATACCCCGAGATACATTACACACCAACTGCTGATATGACCCGTGTTTACAGGGATGTTCTGAAATATGTTTTCAAAGGTAATGAATACAGTGAAGGGTCATTACTCAACAGAGCCAATTTTAGTACCCTGTTTCCATTCATATATTTTGATTTAACAAAACAAAAAATGGACATTAGGACGGCACCACAAAACTGACATTTAAATATCTGGAACAAAGGCAACGGCAACGGCAACGGCCTACTCTGTTTACGCATTGACTCTCTATGAGCAAGATGTTGAACTAATCCAAGTGGATGATAAAATAATACTCAGATCATAAATTATGTAACACATTATATACAAGTCATAACAAAATATTAATCTTATGTAGTGTCACTTAGCAAAGGGCGATTGGAAAAGCTTTCGCGAGCTTACATTAATAATTCAGCGATAACAATCAGACTTGGCAGAAATGAATTATCTGGTCCACATGAATTAATGTTCACAAAAACTCAGATCAATAAATTGAAAAAGGCAATGAGTCAGGGTACAGGGTCGGATATTAAAATATCAGAAACACAAATAAGAAAAGCTGTTAAACGCGGGGGTAGTTTGTTTGGATCATTAATGAGTTTAGGAAGTAAGTTGATACCTATGGCCATGCCTCTAGCTAAAAAGGCTGTCGCACCGCTTGTAACTGGTGCTTTATCCGGTTTAGCCAGTCTTGGTGTGGATAAAATATTTGGAAAGGGCCAACGGGAAGGTTTTCTTATTCCACAGGATAAAATAGCGCAGCTGATTGCGTACAAGCATGTACTATCCGCGGGCCAGAAAAAAGATATTCTTAATGCTCTTCAATCAGGGGGTCAATTAGTTATCAAACCGACGAGAACAGAACAGGGTGGGTTTATAGGAACTCTACTAGCGAGTATAGGTGTCCCTCTGTTGCTAAAAACATTGACGGGAGGAACTCTCCAAGCCGACAGAACCGGTTCCAGTAAAAATACAGTGTCAGCATACGTTCCCGATGCAACTAACGGCCACGGAATAGATAATCCGCACCCTTACATGTCACCACCCTTTTTTGGAACATGGGAAAACCCAGTTGGCTCGGGAGAAAAAAAAGGACAGGTGCTGCTGCTCGGCAAAAACAGTCCATTCAATTCAATCCCAATTCTAGGAACAATACGATCAAATTCATAAAAAAACCATCGTCAAATATTGATTTGTTACACTGGGTCAAACAACTTGGAATGAAATATTTCAGAGGTATTTACAGCCGTGATAATTTACCAAATAAAATACACAGATTGGAAACAGGAATAATCAATTTAGACAATTCATTAGGCGGGGGCAGTCATTGGATTTGTTATAGAAATGTGGATAAACAATTTTGTGAATACTTTGATCCGTTTGGATTAATCATGCCCAATGAAATCAAAAATTATCTGAAAACAAGCGGTAAAAAAATGGTGTATTTATCAGATGAAATACAAGAAAGAGATAGTGCCTTGTGCAGTTATTGATGCTTATATTATCTTTTGGAGAGACAAAAAGGTAGATCATTATTAGATGTTATACATAATACGAAATTCAGTTTCACAGATCAAATGATAAATCACCCATTTCTGATAAAATATTTTAAACAATAATAATAATAATAATCCATTTATATAGCGCCTTTTCTACAAGATTCAAAGGCGCTGTTTACAAAAAATTAGATAGAAGTAAAAAGTAAAAATAATCGAAAGAAATTGACATTAAAACTAGACGCTAACTACAAAATAGATAAATGTACACAATAGATAAAAACTCAGATAACAAATAAAAACGTCACGATTCATAAGCTCGCATAAAAAGAAATGTGACTAAGTCTGCGTTTAAAATCATCAATTAAGTTTGCAGATTTAATATCCTCAGGTAAGTTATTCCAAAGTTCCGGAGCAGCAACAGAAAAAGCTCGTTTACCATACGAATTGAGATTAAAATAGGGTTTAACTAATAAATTTCTCTTAGAGGATCTAAGATTGCGGCTGGGTGTATACAATTGAAGGAGTTCCTGTATATAGATTGGAGCTCGATCATGTAGTACTTTGTAAGTAATTAGCATAATTTTATATTCAATACGAAAGGAGACAGGGAGCCAGTGAAGATCCATCAGGACTGGAGTAATATGGCAAAATCTTGGACACTGGTTGACAAGGCGAGCAGCAGAATTTGAACATGTTGAAGCTTCCGAATAAGATAGGATGGTAGCCGTACAATAAAGAATTACAATAATCAAGTTTAGAAACTACGAAGGCATGAATAACGATTTTTGCAGCATCATAAGTAAGATATTTTCGTATGAAACCAATGTTACGAAGATGGAAAAAGGACGATTGACAGACTGCATTGACAAGAGGTGCCATACAAAGGGACTGATCAAAGATAACTCCAATATTGTGTGCACTGGGGGAGCAGGATACAGTCTCATTACATATATCAACAGAAGATAGTGGTGGCCGAGGTCGATAGGAAGAGGATATTACGAGAACTTCGGACTTGTCTTTATTTAATTTCAGCTTGTTGAAAAGCATCCATGCGTCCATGTCCCGAACATAGTTTACCAATTTGGCGTTACTCAGATTCATATCAGAAACAGACCACGTCCTGAACGTAATATATAGCTGAGTGTCATCAGCATAAAAGTGATAGAACATTTGATGACGTCGAGCAATCTCGCCAAGAGAGGATGTGTACATTGAATATAACAACGGGCCAAGAACGGATCCCTGCGGTACACCAAACTCAAGAACATGAGAAGCAGAGCACGCACCATTAACCTGCACAAACTGTGTACGATCAGAAAGATATGATCGAAACCATTCCAATACAGTTCCAGTAATTCCAAAGCGATTGGACAGTCGCGAAAGTGATTAGAAGACAAATAAAACACCTCTCTAGGCAACAGCGTAAAACACGCAGATGGTCTGAGACCATCTTTATTACCCCACCAAAAGGCCCCACCAAAACGGCGGGTCAGGTCCCAGACCATTTTTATATAACATACATATATTAATGGTGAAATCTTCTTGTGTTAAACAGAAGAAACAAACAGAATGTCTAGAGCCCTCGGGCTATAAAACAGCCAAAAATGGTAGACTTATGTTTTGGTGCACTTGCGCTGAAGTTTAAAAAAAGTTTAAATTTGTAAAGAAGGGAAACTAATTGGGCCCTCTGAAGCCGGGGGCGATTTGTTAGACACCGCTGTAGGAACAGCTACTGATCTATTTGTACATCACGGGCTTCCTTGGATGGGTAAAAAGGTAGTTGAAATGGGAAGATATTATGGCTCAGAGGCGCTCAGAAACCCTAAATTACAGAAAAAAGCCATCGATTACGCTTTGGATAAATTGAGTCCGATGATCCAGAATGTTGGTTCTCAAGCTCTTGACCAATTATCAACCAAAATACGGCCAAAGAAAAACTATAAAACAAACAGAAAAGATCTTGATGGAGGTGTAATAGATATACATAAACAGATTGGTAAATTACCAAAACCAGCAGGTGGATGGACTTTACCAGGCCATAAATATACAGGCCCGTATCATGATTTAGAAAACCAAGTAAGGTGCAATCCAGAAACTGGTGAAATATTAGAAATTTATGATCAACCAACTAGGGCGACAGATGCTGTGGCCATGCAACATGACGTCGATTATAGTGTCTGTGGAGATAACCGGAAGTGCAAAAATAAGGCCGACCGTAAAATGGTAAAATCGTTGGACGCCATACCTTGTAATGAAAGACAATGGGGCCACTGGTTAGCTAGAAATCTAATAAACACAAAGCAGAAACTCGGACTCGGTTTAAACTAGAAAAGCCGTCGGGTATTAGTTGGCAACAGCAATTAGCGGACGAATTACATAAACCAATAAAGCGCAACTTTACTCGGCGACGCGTTATTACAACCGGTATCCACAGAATTGGGTGCTCCGATCTGGTTGAAATGCAACAGTTCAGCAAATGGAACAAGGGTTACAGATATCTTCTAATGGCGTTGGATCTGTTCTCCAAATATGGCTGGATTGTCCCATTGAAGGATAAAAGGGGGGAAACCGTTACAGAAGCATTCAAAGCCATCTTCAACGAGGGCCGTAAACCACAATATCTTTGGACTGATAAGGGGAAAGAATATTACAGCAAAAATATGAAGAACTGCTGGAAAACAATGGCGTAACACTATACTCAACCGAAAATGAGGAAAAATCTAGTATTTGTGAAAGATGGAACCGTACACTTTAAACGAAAATGTGGAAACAGTTTACTGTCCAGGGTAATGCCATAAATTAGGTGGTGGTAATACCACCTAATTGGACGGAAGAGATTTTCCTGGTCGATAAAGTCCAATCTACAAACCTAATCACCTGCAGATTAAAGGATCTCAACAACGAGGAAATACAAGGCTGCTTTTGTAAGCCTGAATTTTTGCCGGCAAAACAAGATACATTCCGCATTGAAAAAGGTCATTCGGAGGGAATATAAGAAAAAACAAGCTCTTGTGAAATGGTTGGGTTATAGTGACGACTTTAATTATTGGATTCCACTAAGCAGCTTCCAAGAATTGTCTAACTAATAGTATATATGGACAGTCATATAAGAAAGCTAGATACTAGAATTAGTAATAGGGAATCCGAACTTAAGGCACTATACACTAAAATCCAAAAATTGGAGGAAGAAATTACCACATTACACCACAAGAAATTAATCTCCAAAAAAACTGGAAACAGCTGAGATGCCATTAACCGGCGTCCTGGTTGCGATCTTTGAAACGGGAGAAGAGAAGGAGAAAGAGTAAACTACCATCGGACCCAAAATGGGGACGGCAACAAATAGTGATATTAGAGGCAAACTAAACAAAACAGCTTTGTTGGAGTAACGAAACGTTACCTCAACCCAGATTATTGCCCTGTCGAAATGAAGGGTCAACAAAATGCCAACGGACCCAAAATGGGTCCGGTGGGTTGGGGTGGTAAAACGCTGCCTCATCAAAATGACACAGGAGGTAAACTACTTAAAGAGATATTAATATATACTATATATAATGGTGTATTTGTTGGAAAAGAAACATGTCAATCAATATATGAATATCGAACTGACTTCATATATTGATAATAAGCAAAATGTTTGGTCCAAGGGTAAAGACTTTGCTAAGATCCTTGGATATAGTAATACAAAAAGGCAATATGAACACACATTGATGAACATGATAAACAACGAATATTTACTCCTCATGTCAGCGGACCCAAAATGGGTCCGTTGGCTCCAAGTGGTGGTATATGCACATATATTAACGAGTCTTGTTTTTACTCCCTTGTATTAGCCTCAAAATTAGAAGCTGCGAAAAAGTTCAAACATTGGGTAACGTCGCAAGTCCTTCCTTTTATCCGTAAATATGGCCAATACAAACTTTTTGATAGTCCTTGGAATAAAATGATCATGACTGGCAATGAGACCGACCTCCATTATAAAGTGGTGGATATGATAAGAGGATTCTATCCAGATACTATATTAGTAGCCGGCCTTGGGGAACTACAAGACACTGGGGACAAGCGACTGGACTCATATAAAAAGGGATATATGAGAGGGCAGCCAGACGTACTGGTACTACCATAAAGATTTTAAGGGCCTAGGTATAGAATTTAAATCGCCAACTGGCAATTACCGTGTATCAGATGCTCAAAAAGAGATGAAAAAGCGGTACATTAATAATGGCTATGCATATATCCTTTGTAATGACATCTGTAAAGGAATCCATGAATATATGAAAGGCATAAGAGTGCTATGTAAATATTGTAATAAACTGTTCCTTAATACCGAAACACGAAAAACCCATCATAAAATAATCCACAGAATTGTATAATGGCGCCAATTTAATGTTTATATTCAGACTTGGTTATCCAGGTCCCAATAAAATTTTAATGTAATATAATATTATATGGAAGAAGAATTAAATAACGATACTCTGAAACCTCTGAAAATACTCAAAACATACAAATTAAAGGAACTAAAGCAGGCAATGATAAAGATGAAAGCAAATAAACTGGCAATAACAAAAATGAGAAGGCACCAAATAGTAAACTTGATTTTACCATTCCCTATGCTATTTCCTGATATATTAAATAATACGAGAACAAGACGACAACCCAAACCACCGAAAAAGGAAGTTATACCACCAGCTAGTATAAAATTAACACCAGATCAACTGATTTTCCATTTTTACCATACTACAGAATAATTTTTGTCCAGTTTTTGAATTTTTATTTTTTGCCATATAGTACTAACCATTTTTTGGTGCCATACTACAGATTTATTTTTTGTCCAATTTTTGAATTTTTTATTTTTTGCCATACCACAGAATTATTTTTTTGTCCAATTTTTGAATTTTTATTTTTTGCCATAATTTTGATTTTCTGATTTTTCCATTTTTTGGATATTTTATTTTTACCATAATTTTGCCTTTTACCATTCCTCATCATCGCAATATTGTATTTGTACATATTCGTCGAATGACATAATTTTATAAAATGGAGAATTGTTTCAGTCACGGTACATTCCAGTTTCAATTCCCCAATTTTTTTGCATTTCGGATAATGCTTCTGAAATTTTTTGTTGTAATACAATTTCGTCGTCGTCTTGTAAAAATTCTGACCATGGTGGTAAAATACTATTTTCTAATTTTTCCAATTCGCTATCACTAAAAAATTCTGACCACAGGGCCATATCTTCAAATTCAAATTCATCTAAGAATAAAAATTCTGATTTTCGAATTTATGGTTCGTCAGTAAAACTATATTCCCGCTGAACGTCAAAATATGAAATTTCCCAACGACTATATTCTAGCGATTCCATTTTTTCAGTTTTCACCATTTGGCACCACATAAAATAATTTTCGTCCTGTTCAATTTTTTCTTATTTCGCGTCTCTGTCAGATTTTACTTTGGCCAAAATTTCTTGTTCCACCTGCTCGCGCGCTAATTGTAAATTATATTTGTACTCCACTGAATTTCTATTTTTAGTATATTGTTTTTGACAGGTTAAATTTTCTCGCTCGCGGCGCAAAATTTTTATCATGTCAGTAATTGCCGCAATTTTGTTGTCGATAGCTTGAACTCGAGGATCGGAAAATTCAATTGGTCCTACTCTAAGAGTGCTCGCAACTGTACTATTACACTTTTCTACTTTCTTCACCATTACTTAAACAATAGGAAAACCTTTTAAGTAGATTACGTTTTTGCCAATTAATTAGATACTAAATAAATGGCTACAGCGCTGACGTCAGTAAGAGAGCCGAAAATCCAAGTGAGCGTGAATTTCAGGGATCACAGCCATCGTACTACAAACATAGGCTGCACTTAAGGTTGGACACCCATCAGTGTAGTGTAACACAGTGATTCTACAGGTAGAGCTAACAAACATATGCTGAACTTAAGCGTGGACCCCAATAATACACTAAAGGTAGCACACCCATATGTGTAGTGTAACCCAGTAATTTTATTGGTAGACCTGACAAACATAGGCTGAACTTAAGGATGGACACCGTAAGTGTAGTGTAACCCAGTGATTATGTAGGTAGAGCTTACAAAGATAGGCCGCAGTTAAGGTGGCGCACTCATAAGTGTAGTGTAACCTGGTGATTCTGTAAGTAGACCTAACAAACATAGGCAGCACTTACGGCTGGACACGATAAGTGTAGTGTAACCCAGTGATTCTCTAGGCAGAGCTAACCAACACAGGCTGCCCTTAAGGTAGGACACCCATATGTGTGGTGTAGAAATAACCAACATACGCTGCACTTAACGTGGCGTTCCCATAAGTGTAGTGTAACTCAGTGATTCTCTACGTAGAGCTTACAGTCATAGGCTGAAGGTTAGGTGGGGCACCCAAAAGTCTAGTGTAATTCAGTGATTCTGTAATTAGACCTTACAATCATAGGCTGCACTTACGCTGGACACCCGCAAGTGAAGTGAAACCCAGTGATTCCGAAGATAGAGGTAACCAACATAGGCTCTACTTAAGGTGGCGCACCCATAACTAAAGTGTAACCCAGTGATTCTCTAACTAGAGAAAACTAACATAGGCTGCACTTAAGGTGGCGCATCCATAAGTGTAGTGTAATCCAGTGATTTTGTAGGTAGAGCTAACCAACACAGTCTGCAATACCGGTTGCACACCCATATGTGTGGTGTAACCCAGTGATACAGAAAATAGAGGTAACCAACATAGGCTGCACTTAAGGTGGCGCTTCCATAAGTGTAGTGTAGCCCAGTGATTCTGTACCTAGAGCTTACAAACATACGCTAAACTTTAGGTTGGGCACTCATAAGTCTAGTGTGATCTAGTGATTCTGTAAGTAGACCAAACAATAAAAGGCTGCACTTAAGGCTGGACACTTGCAAGTGAAGTGAAACCCAGTGATTCCGAAGTTAAAGGTAACCAACATAGGCTCTACTTAAGGTGGCGTACCTATAACTGAACTGTAACCCAGCGATTCTCTAAGTAGAGGTAACCAACATAGGCTGCACTTAAGGTGGCGCCTCTATAAGTGTAGTGTAATCCAGTGATTTTGTAGGTAGAGCTAACCAACACAGGCTGCAATACCGGTTGGACACCCATATGTGTGGTATAACCCAGTGTTTCAGAAAATAGAGGTAACCAAGAGCTAAACTTAAGGTTGGGCACCCATACGTTTGGTGTAACCCAGTGATTCTGAAAATAGAGGTTACCAACATAGGCTGCACTTCAGGTGGCGCTTCCATAAGTGTAGTATAACCCAGTGATTTTGTACGTAGAGCTTACAAACATACGTTGAAATTTGAGTGGGACACCCCTAAGTCTAGTGTGATCCAGTGATTCTCTAAGTAGTCATAGGCTGCACTTGAGGCTGGACAAGAATAAGTATAGTATAACCCAGTGATTCTGTACTAAGGGCTTATAAACATAGGCTTCAATTAAGGTTGGACAACCATACCTGTAGTGTAGTTCAGTGATTTTGAAGGTATAGCTAACCAGCATAGTCTGCACTGAAGGCTGGACAGCCTTAAGTAAAGTGAAACCTAGTTATTCTTAAGGTAGACGTAACCAACATAGGCTCTACTTAAGGTGGCGCCCTCATAACTGTAGTGCAACCGAGTGATTCTCTAGGGAGAGGAAACCAGCGTAAGCCGCAGTTAAGGTTGCCCACCCATAAGTGGTGTAACCCAGTGATTCTCTAGGTGGAGCTAACAACATTAGGCTAAACTTAACGTTACACACCCATAAGTGTATTGAACCCAGTGATTCT